CTTAGCCTTGCTTGCTGAAAGGTATTCCCATTCCGGCTGGAATAGACTGCGATTTCGACTTTGTATGAATTTGTCTCATCTGCACTGGCAGAGGTTGCTATAACCGTCATAGGGTGGAAGTGAATTTCGAGGCAAGCTCGGCCTCTCAAATATCACACGTTTATGGTGGGACTGTCGCTAAAGCAAACGACTGACCGCATTAATTCTACTCGCTCTGGGCTCGATTGCCGCTGGGGATGGTGATGAAGCCAAGACTAGGTTGCAAGGGCAGTGCATCCTAGACGATAATGCCTTTTTGGAATAGCTTGGACGGCCTGTGGTGAAGAAATCTCGTTTTTCGTGAATAATGCCTTTTCGTTATGAGACCCTCTTCGGTGAGCCGAGATCTTGGCCTCATTTAACGGTCTTCACTTTACGGCAGCCGATGAGGCCAATCCAAGAATCCCTTTCAACAAAAGTTCCCTTTAAAATAAAAGTGGCCTCATTCAAAAGCATAAAATGAGCCCTGAAAACCCAGCTCTTATTAAACAATTATGCATAAGAACTTGAGATCAATTCCATCTCGAGTGAGAGTGAGTGGATGATGAATATTCCTCTTGACCAACTATCGTTCGGCTTTACTCGAACAGTTTGGTTGGTGCTGTCCCCGAGGAAATCTCGTTCGATTCCGGTGAAAAGGTATTATACTTTCGTCGCTGATATGATGGAAATCATGAGATCGGAGTATCATTCTTACAACCATAATCAAGCTGACGAATCAAAAAGATGTCCAAGTATAAGCTTGAATGAATGTTGACTGAAATCGGTTAAAAGAATTATACTCTGCTCCGAGGATGTCTAACATATGACGGAGAGCTCACGCGTTTTCGCCGACAGCAAAGAAGGCTACCTGAAAAAACAGCCTTACCAAAAGTGTTTTAGTAAAGCCATTTGACGACAGCTGGCCAAGAGGAATCTGCATTCGAACCACTTCATCAGACGCACTTCCACGCGAAATAGAAGAGAGCTCAACAATTATCAGCCAAGAGATTCACCAAAAGTCAACTTCTATTTGCAAATAAAAATTTGAGCCCTCCCAAGTCGGCAAGGGCTAAGAACGAGATGTGTTCTAATCGCAGTTGCCCCGGTAACACAAGGAAGTTGCGGAAACCAGGTTAAACCACGTCTATGTAGGGAATCGGGACTGCCATAAAAATGGGGGCAGCATCATTTTGGACTCGATGCCTTCGAGTAGAATAGACGAATTGTGGTTCTCTGCTAACAATGGCGCCTCGTAGTGACGAAACCCAAGAAACGTCCGAGAATGTACCAGGTCAACGGTCAGCTGTTTAAAACTGTTATGAGTACTCGGTTTCTTCGTTTATAATAACGTTCTCTTGACTACTAGTAGATCTGATATATGAAATGTATCCACTATATTTTTCTTAATGCTGGTGAAGATAAATAATGCCTTGGATTGTTGGAGCATGTACAACCTTGCTTCGTCCACAATCCCACCTCAGAATATGATATTGGAAAGGCCTAGTCTTTCCTCAAGTTCATACAGGTCATTTGGCCCAACAACACGCATGGTAGTATGGGGTAGTAGTGAACGTGTCGGGACTATAAGCTGCACGTTGCCAAGCAGAGTTCGAGTCCCGTTGCCGGGGCTGATGAGAACTAGGCGAGGCCGAAACCGAATGAGAATACTTTTTGACAAGAAGGCCTCAGCGGAAACGTGAATAGCACTTATGTGATTTGGTAAAATGCAACTACCTCACCTTCAATGAAATATGGCGAATATGTCAAATAGAGATTTTGCAAGGTCTCCGTTTTCTCTAAACAAATCGCGAAAATCCGACTAAACTAACAGTAATATAGTTACAAGAGGCTGCGACCTAGCTGAATAGCACAATTTCGGTCGTAAAACCCTCCGGCAAGAGAAGCTCAGTGCATAAAAAGGCAGGGTTTCGAAGGCTTCTTTAGTGAATTAGTGTGACCCGACTTTCCGCTTCGAATGAAAAGTTGGTTGAAAAAAATTCAAAAATTTGTCGCATCAGAAACTGACGAGGGATTGGATTGTGCGAAGAAGTCTTGGGATCATCGTTTTGCGACCTCTTCATGAACTGATGCTAAGCATCGTGTGCTATGTGATGTGACAGAAAAGGCATCAAAGACAGAAACCATACTTGACGAAATAGGCCTGCAATATGCTAACAAACCAAGAGAAAAGGTGGCACAGGTTCACCGGTGTGGCAATACGGTGAGCCGAGAAGTAGTCTGGGCAATCTAACATTCATCACTCCTCCGCAAGATAAGCTTGCTTGACTTATAGGTAGATTTTAGAGACACATTTTGGAAAAGAAAAGCAATGTACAATTTAATGAAAATGTAAAGTTTACTCATATGGTTATAGGAAAATTTAACAAGTAGTCCGCCTATCACCCTAAACGAAATATGATGAATAAATCTCATATATGAACGATCAGTGGGTTTGAGGTGAGATGAAGTAATGAATTGCATAAAGGCAACTTGCATTTGAAATGGAAAATCGGGTCAGAAAATAGGCTCAAACCGACTGTACAACAGCACAACTGGATGACTTATTTGGTCTTTTGACGATTCTCTATCGGAGATTGCAGATAGATACCAAATGGATCTCAAACATACAACAGATAGACACTAAATATGCACCAACTATACAACAGATAGACACCTCAGAGGCCCCAAATAGATCTCAAATAGGCAACAGATAGACACTAAATAGACACCAAATAGGCACTAAATAGGCACCAAATAGACCTCGAATATACAACAAATAGACACTAAATAAACACTAAATAGGCACCAAATAGACACCAAATAGACAGGTCATAGACCTCAAATAGATCTCAAATAGGCAACACATAGACACTAAGATGACACTAAATAGACACCAAATAGACCTCAAATATAGAGCAAATAGACACTAAAAAAACACTAAATAGACACTAAATAGGCACCAACTCGACACCAAATAGACATCTCAGACCTCAAATTGGGCTAAAGCAGACACCAAGTATATCTCAAATAGGCAACACATAGACACTAAGATGACACTAAATAGACACCTCAGAAACCTCAAATAGATCTCAAATAGGCAACTCATAGACATCAAATAGACACCAACGATACCTCAAATAAACAAAAAATAAAAACTAAATAGACACTACATAGACACTAAATAGGCACCAACTAGACATCAAATAGACACCTCAGAGACCTCAAATAGATCTCAAATAGGCAATACGTAGACAATAAGAAGAGACTAAATAGACACCAAATAGACACTAAATAGGCACCAAATGAACACCAAATAGACCCCATTTAGACGTCAAATATATCCCAAATAAGCCCTAAAAAGATCCCAAATAGAGCTCAAGCAGACATCAAATTGACCCTGAATAGAGCCTAAGCAGGCACCAAAAAAACACTAAATATAAATCAAATATACACCAAATATACAAAAAATAAACCTCGAAAAGTTCTGAAATACTTCTGGAATAGGTCTGGAATAGGTTTGGAATAGGCCTGGAATAGGTCTGGAATAGTCATGGGATAGACTTAAAATATGCCATTAATAGACCAAGAGTAGCCCCGGACTAGGCTGATAAAAGACCATAAATGATGGCATAATGAATGGTGTGACGAAGCGCTTTAATCTGACGGATCCACCAATCAGGAACCAGTAAGCCCAGAGTCAGCTTAACCAACCTTTGCAAGAAAGCCATACCAACAGGGACGACGAGGCTTGGCACCATTCCAGTCGAACAGGCTGGCTCCGTCTGTACTGGCCTCTCCGCAGGCCTATTCATGTAAGAGGAGTGCGAGCTGGCATTGTGTGGTCAATCTGCACGAGAGGCGAACTCCCCTATTCGGTGCTGACCGCGCTGGCGTTAGCACCGTTTTCACACGCACCCAATGGCATAACAAACTCGCCTGATAATAATAGTGATGATGATGATGAAAAATTAGAAATTGCGTGTGAGCCGAGTTTTGGGCTCGAAGGCAAAGTTGGCCTATGGGGAATTGGGAAGAGGACGTCTTTGTAGTAGACAGG